CATTTTAAATTGTATGTTAATCTCAGGAATATTTTTCCTATTCTACTCTAAGAGAAAAATTGGAAGAATTGGATACGCTTCTATAGGTAAGGAATTTTTCTTCCACCCTGTGCTTTGTAGTTTTTTTTTAAAAAAGGCTTTATTGAATTATTACAGTACAGACAAATAAACACAAAAATGGTTTATGATATGTACTTTACATTTCACTTTAAAAATAAATGATTTAGATTTATAAATTCGCACTTATTATAAATTCTCACTTATTTAGAAGTTAAAACACTGAAATTCTAATCAGTTTTCTATTATGATAAACTAATAACTATTTGAAAATTAAAATTTGTAGTGAAAATTAAAGCGTACTTTAATTTTATACCATCTTTATATGTAGCAGCCAAATATTTCAACATTAAATTTATTGTTTTGACCTAGTAAACTCAAAGCCACAACAGATGTTTTTATCTCATTCATATATTAGCTGGGGAAATATTTAAAAGTTTTATTTTTTTCTGATCCTAGATTCAAAGTTAAAGTTGTAGGATCTTTAGGTTTTGCTTTGTTTTGATTTTTTTCACATTGAAATATAAAATTTATGACTTAAAAGTGCTCTCAGCATTTAGGTAACAGATCTGATTTACTTCTTAACAGGAAGTTAAAAAGACTTTCAACATTTTATAGACTTTGTGAGAATCCCACATGAACCTTGTCTCTGACCCTTAGTGGAAGGAATGAATATAGGGAAACAGACATTGGCTAATGGACAAAAGTATTTACTTTCCTGGATGTACTGCAGTGATTATTACTTTCCCGCCTATTATCTTGTTATTGGTCATAGTCTTTAAAGCTGACAGTTATTGCATAACTTGAAAAGAAACAAAAGTTGTAGCATATTTTTTTTCTGACAGAATATAATGATTATGGGCTTTGCAGCCAACTGCTCTGGGTTTGAGTTGATATGTATATTTAGATAGTTATGTTATAAACACTGTGAATCTCAGTTTCTGTATCTGTAAAATACGCATGACAGCTACCTTCTAGAATTATATACCTAAATGTGCTCTTAGCACGTATCAGAACTCAAATTTTAATTTTATTTTTGTCCTTCACTCCCTATCTTTACCATTTTTTGAAGACGCCATGTGAGGAAAATACTAGTCTGAGGGAATTATTATAGAAAAATAATTACCAATAGAATACTGAAGCACACCAAATACCTGACTTGACTTCTTTTCAAAATTCAATTTTAACTTTAAAACTTAGTGTAATCAGAATGGTAATGTGATACTGCATTTCCTCAGTATTTGGTAAGTGCTCATTGATGCCATCCTTACACCAAACTTGTAAGGGTGGCAGCACATAGAGCAGTTGACTTATCTATAGGCCACAAGGTTGGAAACCAGGCAGAAACAGAATGTGAACTCATGATGTAAGTTTATTTCTTCTACTAGCTTCTCAGTGAAGTTTCAAAACAGTTCTGCTTTGAGGAAACAGCATGGAACAAGCCCCAGTATGAAATGAGACAGGGCATATTTCAGCATACAAATACCTTTGGATAGAGTTCAAGATAGATCTGAGCTATACCAAAATTATTCTATAGGGAATGGGTTCTGAGTAGACACCAAAGGGGCAATATTACCTCCTCGAATATTCTTGTGTTGCATGTGCACGTACTTGTGGCTTAAAAATACACTATTAAACATTTAAATAAAGGGAAACATCTTTCTCTAACATACTTCTAAGCCAATTTAGAGGTAATTGAACAGATGTCATATAATACTAATGTTAAATTACTTTGTGTAATAAGAAAATTACAGTACCTAAGTAAAGATAGTAAAGGGAAACCATCCAATGAATTACTCTAGAATTTCAAACTGCAATGATATCAGAATTAACAGTGGCACCATATGACTTTAGAAAAGTGAGTCTGATAGGGAGCAGGGAAATCAGAGACAAAAGTAAAGCTTTTTTGTGTTTATATGTGCCAAATATTGGTTATGCTGGGAGAGCTAATGTAATGATATAGCTTTCAGGTGTCCAAGACATATATTATTATTAAACTATGTGATGAGACATTTATTAAAATCTAACTTCTTATTGAGTTGTTTAATATAAAATCACAGTTGCTGTTTCTAGTGTATATATACTTCCTTTTGCTGTTAGGTACTCTTTAAAAATTAATTATTTTGAGAACATAGTATGACCAAAGAATAAAAATGTATGAAGTTTGACAACTTTAAATAATCACTATCATTTCTTAGAGAACAAACCTCACTTACAGTTAGGATACAATATTTATATTTAAGGTTGAAAAGCCAGGATGTAAGAAAATTTTGCTAATTTGGAAGATGACCTTTAAATGCACCAAAACCAAATAATTTGTAGGCTATGACATAGGGCACATTCCTACAAAATTTGTGTGAATACAGCTTTAGTGGTTCTTGAAAGACAAACAAAGAAAGCTGGAATGAAATCTTGATTCCCTTCCCAAATAAGACTGAGACTAACAAAAGTGTACAGCAGCACTCATTCAAAGCTTGCCATTTAAATGGGATCTCTGTAGCACAGTTAATGAGATGGTTCATAGGGGAAAACAATCTGTTTTTAAGAATGTTTAGATCAAAAGTGATTTCTAATCTATGAAATAAAGTTGCTTCAATACCCTTCATTCACCAGTAAAGCTTTTATGTTTGTATTATTTACTTCGATCAGATGTTTTCAATTTTACCTTTTTTTCTTTGTAAAAATACTTGATATGGTTCATCAATACTGACCAACAGTTTTATTCTTTTTCTTCAGAAAGAGAGATGAGGGAGGGAGAGAGATAGAGAATGAAAAATAGAGAAACATCTCTGCCTAAACGATTTGCAAGCATCTGTGCTTTAAGCTACTTTTTATGAACACTCCTTAGTAAATGACTCAAGGTAAAAAAGCAGAAAAGCATCCAATGTTAGGAAATTGCAATCCAATACCATGTAATTTAAACCTGCAGTTGCTTCTCTTGTACTAAATGACATACAGATGGGTAGCTTAGTTCTCTCTTTGAGAACACAATTGGTCTTTTTGTATGAATGAACATATATTAACAAAAATATTTTGGACTGAATTGTTTTATTCTCATTGTTCAGATTTTAATTATCCATCCATTTGAAAGAATAATTTTAACCAAGACGTATGTCACAGGTTTGTAATTAATGAATTTTTTGACAAAATTAACAAAGATACAACATTTCTAACAAATAAGTCAAAACAAAGTAACTTTCAAGAAGTTTGTAGTAAATTGAGCAGAACCTCACCTATCACAATCAACTGTTAAAAAAGAGCCATGCATTTTTCAAGCTGTTGGAGGCTGTTCTGATAGAACAGACATTTCCCAGGGAAACATTTGTTTCTACTCCTTAGACAATAGTAAAAATGTAGATAGTAGTTGTTAGATAAATCCTAGTGTAATGTGGGGCCCAGTGAGATGAACAAGGACCCATGTGCCATTTGCATTGAGCTGGCTGTTCCTGTGGCTCCTTTCAGGCCAAGAAGGGCCAGGAAGGGCCAGAAAAGGCCAGGGTACATCATGGAAGGTCAGCAGAAGTGCTGTTTGATATCTGCAGGCCCGCACCAAGACATAACTTTCTGTTTGGCTCTGATTTGCTCTTTTCCTGTCTCTGTATTTTCTGGTAGAGAATTAGCCACTCTGTCTTGGTGGCCCTGATTCCGGAAGCTGATACCCTCTTTAGTCCCACAATCTGAGTAACTGGTTAGCTAATTTTTTCCAAGTTTAACTTCAGTGATTTCATATTTGATGACATTAGCCACCTTAAAAGTAAAAGAAGTAAAAAGCATTTCCACTCCTAAATCTTATTTCTTTGTATTTCAAAAGAAGTTGAATTTAATATTCAGGAAACTAAACAAGGTTTCTCTGAAAAAATTCAAAATACGGTAAGAAATCTTTATATTTAGGACAATCTGCAAGCTTCTTTACCATGATAGATGGCAAAGAAAAGTAATTTTACTACAGTGAGTAATTGTTGCCCTGTCCAAGAGTTATATTTTTTCAATCATTTGTGAAGGTAAAATAAAATACTACATATAAACAGGTATTGTCTGAACATTTTACTACAATCTTATAAGTTGAAATAAAAGCTGCCATTGTTATTAGAGTCATGTTAAAATTATTTCACCATTAAAATACACCCAATCAGTAAATCTTCCTAGATTTTGCAGAAAGAAAATGTAGGTCTTTAAATAAAATCACTACTTTTCCTTTTTTCCTTTGTCTTTCTTCCTATTTTTCTCACTCTTTGAATTCTTTGAGTCTGCATTAGTTTAAAATGCCGTCTCCTATAGTCGTTTAGAAGTTTCTTGCTGCCTATTTAACATGGGATGCCACAGTCTTTAAAGAAAATTTTATTTCTGAGGACTCACAGAATCTAGTGAATTGTCTGATAGAATCACAGAGAAAAGCAATCCCTAATAGTAGAGAGTATGTGTTTAAAGGTCACAGAAAAATAAACAAGATAGAGTTAGTTAGATCATCCAGTAATACTGGAAACTGAATGATGATGGTTTCAAGCTATTCCACCAAGTTGCAAAATTATTACATGGACAGTATGGTTTAACTAATATGCCCATCATCTTATACAAACAGTGTGATAAGTATAAATAGGCTTATATTTTTAAATTGTTTTTTAAAAGGAGTTTCAGAGTTTTGGGGGACATAAATAATGTACTACCATCTTGCAAATGTTCAGTAAGTTTTTGGTTCTACATGCTAGAAGCTTTGGTTGCAGCATATTGTCACTGTTCAGTGGAATCACTTGGGTTGTAGGAAGCATTCGTTTTAAACTTAGAGGAATAATCAGCTGCAGTTCAGGTAAGATTTTCTAGTGCATTTGGGACTAGTCTGATCATTGACAACTGACTGTAGAAGCTGTGTTGTGGCGGCTGGCCAAAGCAATTATTTAGGATTCAAGCTAAAAAGCTCCCTTCTTCCATATCCTCTCTCTTTCCAGGGTCATGTAGGGATAAAAAGAACTGTAAGGTGGTCTTTTCTCAGCAGGAACTGAGGAAGCGGCTAACACCCCTGCAGTACCATGTCACTCAGGAGAAAGGGACCGAAAGGTAAGGTGAGCTATAATAAAAAGTCATTAAGCAAGAGCTTGTTTTCTCCATCCCTCCACCTTTGAATCTTTTTTGTCAATTAATTTAAAGAATTCCATCTTTATTTGATAAAGTCTGTAAATTAATATCTTTGAAAAGATTGAAAATGGCATTGTTTAGGTAAAGACTCAAGTTTTATTTGTTCTCTCCTCCATTTAATGAACACTCTATCTTATGAAAAGTCACAAGACTTTTGTTAAGGGCCTGTTTTTAGTTTACTACGAAATGTGTGGAAGTAATAGCGATTTAGGTACATTTTTTGGGAAGACATCACAGTAAGCAAAACCATGAGGGACATGGAGGTATGCCAGGATGCTGAAATTTTGAAGGTGGCCATTGTAAGTATAGACATTTTGGCTGCAAAAAGAAGGTAGCATAATTTAGTTCCTTTCTACCCCACTCCAATTTCTTTTTGAAGCACATGTGGAGAAAGTATTTATTGGCTCATTTGTGGTTGGAATGTCAAAAATTTTCAATAACTGCCCTCACATGGCTTTGGTCCTTGGAAGTTCGCCCTAAGTCCTGAAAAAAGAATTTGTTCACTTCCAAGACTATTTTTAGTGAATAAAGTCTCTCTCAGCTGATTCCAGCTCAAAAGTAACTTGCCAAGGTCCAATGATTTTGTTGTCTAATTTGTACCATAGAGCTTGGCATATGGCTGCAACTTACCTCTGATCCAAATTTATTAATGATGTAACTTTTTGTTTTCATTCATCAATTGTTAAGAACTCTTTACCACACATGGGATCCTTGTTAATAGACAGCATGCACTTCCTGTCACAGTACCTACTATTTACTGAATTTACCAAATGTTGAATCCCTGACAAAGTCTACCCTCACTGTACAGTGAGCTAGTAGTGGACTTGAGTCTCAGCTCAGAATTTCTGCCCGTCCTATTGTGTACATGACTAGCAAAATGATTTAATGCACACAAACAACCAGAGATTAGGTCATTCTTAAAAATGCTGTTTATAAAAAAAAAATTGGACCTCATAAAGAGGGTGAAAGGATAATAAAAACAAGCTGCAGAGCACATAGACTTTTTGTTGGGCTAGCACAGCTGATTTGTATTAGCTGAATGACCTCCTAGCCTTTAAGATTGTTAACTTAGAAAAATATTCCCTTAAAGCTGCAATATTCCTTTTCAAACTAAAAAATAAGTCTTTCCACTTGAAGTCTTGGAACTTTCTGCGTTTTCTCGAATACTCTTGGATACTGAAGAGTAGTAGAAATCTTATGTAATAATGTTCTTTCTGTGAATCAAACTACATGCTTTCCTTTAAATAGAAAAAAGTTTTTTCTAAGCATTGCATAACTAAATGGTTTGATATTTTTTAATTTAACCTGCACTAGTTTGGAGTAGTTATAGGTACCTTTTATTATATAGATTTGATATATATTACTATTGTTCAGATTTCCATATGTTTGGTCTGTTCTCATTTTAGGACCAAAAGCTCTTGAAAGATTTATTAGAAAAGTGTGTTTTAAGCAAATATGCTCTATAAAAATAATGCTAGCTTTGCTTAATTTTTTGATGATCTGTTTATTGTTTATTAGTGCCTTTGAAGGAGAATATACACATCACAAAGATCCTGGAATATATAAATGTGTTGTTTGTGGAACTCCATTGTTCAAGTAAGTATATTAAAAAGCAATAGTATGGATATATCACAGATAGCAACAAACTAGTTATTGCTTGTTCACCCTGGAATCTTTCTACTACTGAATTTTCTTCTTTTTTTATTTTTGTTTGCACTCCACAAAACAGAAATAACTTTCATGGTAACTTAACTTTCATGGTAAATTGCTAGTGTGATACACTGGATGATTTTGCACTGTTTGGACTTTTAAAAAACCCAGTATTAACTTGTTCATCTCAGTAACCATTTTGCTTAACAGAGATATCAAAGAGATTTTGATGGGCATAGGAATGTTTATGTATTTATTGATTTTTCTGTCAAGTTATTTATTGGACCATATTGAAAATTCTGTATGTGTATCTTTCAAATTTACTGATATCCACCAAGTAGACTGTTCATACTTCTACAAAGAAGGAAAATACCAGCATTGAAAGTAATATGAGAAGCATAACAGATATTTATACATAAAGAAGCAATTTATATAAGTTTAACAGTTGTTTTCATTGATCCAAAATCTTTATTTTAAAGATCCAAACAGTTTACCATAAAACAGGCAGCACATAGACTTTTTGATCAAAATAGTTTATTCAGACAGTGTATTCTGGAAAGTATAAGTCTTATTCAAGACAGGACAATTCATTTTCAAAAATTTATTTATCTAGGTGAAGAAAATCCTGGAAGCCATATATTTTTTTGTAGGGTTGCTGATTTAGGGAAATAAATGGAAAGGAACTTTACTTGAGAGTAAATGTCATTTATTTAAAATGGAATTGCAAAGTTTCTTAGGGGAAATGAATAAATATGAATCTGGTACTGGTAGCATGTAAAATACATTTTATATCTCACCATAAATGTTTCTCTTTTAAAACACTACCATTTACAGATTTTCCAGAAATAACAGGAAATAGTAGTTGCCTTGAAAATTTTTAAGGTTTACAACTTTTCTTAAATTGCACAAATCTTATTACACATTAGTATTGGTTGAGAATCTGTTTTGAATTTTTATGTATTTATTCTTCATGTTAAAAACTCGACCCTTCAGATTGTCACCCATTTCCCCTCAGAAAACACACGTCTTTATATCTCAACACCTTTGTCTTATGTCATAATAGTTGATATAACACTTAAGATAGTTGTTGAGCCATGTTAAACTTGTTAATATCCCAAATGGTAAAAATTTGCCACATCCCTTTTGCTTTTTGTTTAAGATCCTCCATTTCTTTCCCTATCATGTGATGCAGTAAAACACTAGATCTAAGGAAAACTTACTCTGTTAAATAAGAAACAGAATTACAGTAAATGAGAGATTTAATTCATGTGAGATTTTTGAATCACAAATCCTAAAAGCAAGACCCTTATCCAAACATAGGTAATGGTGGGAATCAGGTTTCCCATTCATTGTGACATTGCTATGATCTCCTTTAGCATTCTTGTAAAAAAAAGCTTTCATTTTCTAAATTTTTAAGGAATGTGGTTCAGTTCTTTTTCTCCTGCTTTTTCTCTATTTCATTCTTGGGCTCCTTGTTCTTGGTTTCTTGTCTTTTTTGGGGAAAATTCTCTGTCCTGTCTTTCACTGGAGATGGAGTAGCTCATTGGTCTGTGTAGCTGTCTTCATACTGGAAAATGTGTCCTAGGTGTCCACAAGACTTTCCAGGGATCATAGGGCATGGACAATTTTTAGGGCATCAATTTCATGATCCTCAGCTTCCACAGGACCATGTTCCTGAAACAGATTGTCTAAGAAAGTCTGTGATCTGCTTTTTCTTCCTTCTCATCTCATCATCATGGTCATCTGTCTTTCATTTCATAAAAGATGTCACATGGCTCACCTGTCCCAGATATTACTAATTTATTGTCCTAGAGTACAGTTTTTAGGGCATCAAGAAAAAAATGCCAGTTTAGGAATGCATAGCCTCTTAAGGAGAGCAAAGCAAAAAAGCATTTGTAAAAATATTCAAATAATCTTTTATCTTAGCAAGGCTCTGGCATGACTCAGTCCACCTCCCTGTCATCTATTTGTCTATTTATTGTCTGTTTATCTATTTCCTACTAGCCTACTTAAGTGAGAGGGTTGCCATGAAAACATATATCAACATATTTATTCAAACAGAAAAAAAAGAAATGAATGTCTTTTTTTTTTAGACAAAAAAATCTTATTTTTGATTGATTTGTCAGTAAGGACTGGCTTTGCACATTACTTCATATGGTGGACTTCATTCATTAAATGATCAAACCATGCAGCTTTAAGGTTTTGACAAAAATCCGTTTTCGGTATGTATAAGGTACATGAAATAACAGAATATTCATCTTTTGCAGTTATTTAAATTCTGGTAAGATGTGTTAGCTGTTAATTTAAAATATAGGAATATAGGAAGCATGTTTCCGGCAGCACCCAATCAGACTACAGAACCCAAAGTTACTTGAACAGGAAAATTTAATATAAAGAATTATGAACTGTAACAGATTATTGTGGTAATGAAAGATTGGCTAATAAAGTAAAGAAAATCTAAAGACTATGGTGTAGCAAGAATAACAATCAAGACCCTAAGGAGAAGCAGTTTGTTCTGTAGAATCCAGGTGCTGAATAAGTTGCCTACCCTGAAAGAACTGGGTATTGGAAAAGCTATGTAGACAGTAGGAGTCTAGCACTGGAAAAGCCACCCACCCTGCAAGAGGCTGGAAGTAGAGATGCTGCCTGTGCTTCAGAATTCAGATGCTAGAGGAGCTGCAGGCCCTAGAGAAGGCTGGCATACCCAAACCAGCAAGTGAAGACCTTTTCCTCCAGAGGTCTCTCTCCTGTGACCTTTACTGGAAAAGCTTGACTTTAAGCTAGCCAATAAAGAAAAAAAAATTTAAGGACTCAGCTCCATGTTAGCAGAGGAAGCAAGGAAGATGGGTTTGGAGGTAAGAGGCAATAAATTGATAACTGACACAAAATCTATATTTTTTTTCAAGATTATTTTAGGAGTCCATGATCAAAAGTTTGAAAACCACTCACTTATCTAGTGAATTCTAGATATCATTATCAGGGACCTTCTAGATAGCTGGTTTCACACTTTATATACAAAGTGTAGGAAACAATTGGTGTGTGTGTGTGTGTGTGTGTGTGCACATGCATGTGTATGTATAGTTTTTATTAGAAGGGAGTTAAAGAAGAAAATTAGGTAAAACAGGAAATAGAGGAATAGTATGAGAAATAACTATAGTAGGAAAACAGGAAAGACGAATAGAAAAAAGAAGTGGTGAACTTGAGAATGTATGATTGTTAGAAGTATGAGATTTTCTCCCAACTTTAGTTTCTGTTTTCTAATTCATGCTTGTATGTTTATGTGTGCACATATATGTGCATAAGCCTCTTCCTTTACTTGACTGATGTGTATGTATTATACTTCCTTGTAAAAAGTCTACTCAGTTATTCTTTTATTTTCAAATTATAGTCTAAATACATCCCTTCTCTGAACAATATGCTGCTTTTCAAGTACAAGAACCTTATTCACAGGCTTCTTATAAATCAAATATGTAATTTATTTCACAGTTCATGTTTTCTTCATATTCACAAATTTTACCAAGCTAGTTTATTTCTCATATAGTACTACTGATTTTCATTAGTAAATTAACTGACAGAAGCAAGAATGTTCTCACCTCTGGTTATTTGAACTTTTAAAATTTCATAAAGTGAATTTATTTCATATCAGATAAACCAGAGAAGGCATTGGTAAAATAATTTAATTCAGAAAGTATTTTTGACCGCTTACATTGTGCTTTACAAGGTATTGTGGAACAGATAAGTTTATGAAATAGTTTCTCCTCAAGGTACTTAATGGTTTTGTTGGCATAACAAAATAATGTTAGTATCTGTCTGAATGTGCCTGTTCAAAATGCTTTTATGTGCATTAGAAAGGTATATGACTGCATTAAGTTGGAAAATGTTCATGGAGAAGATGAGACAACATTTTATTAGGAAGAAAGAAAAGTTCAGTTTTCCCAGGTGAAGGATTCTATGTAGAGATTGTTACATGATGAGAGGAATTTGGGGCTGGGGATTTAGCTCAGTGGTTCTGCTTCCTGCCTCACAAGCTCAAGGACCCGAGTTCCATCCCCGGTACCAAAAAAAAAAAAAAGTAGATGATGAGAGGAATTCGAGATTGGGATCAAAAGCAGGTTTTGCAAGGAAATAGGAGTTGGAGGGTGGGTTATGTTGGTAGTAATGGGAGATATGACTGGGTGTTAAGGTGACCAATCAGGGAAGTCCTGAAACCAGAGAAAAAATTTTAAATTTCAACTTGAAATTTCTTCTTTGATGAAGCTCTTTAATCTTTCCAGGATGAATTTTGTTGTCCCTCTTCTCAGCTTAATAGCATGTTGTATGCATTTTGATTGTCATAATTTCTACTATGTTCTGAATTATCTGTTGATTTTCTCATTTTTCCTTTAGTAAATGTATTTCACAGTGGTCAAACTATACCCTAGTCCTATTTATATCTCTAGCCTCTGACATTTAATAATCACTAAATATTTATTGTTTATTTGCATGATTGTCTGAAGTTTGCTATGCAGATTGTGGAGAAATTTTGAGAAAGGGAATAGTATGATGAAAATTGGGAGTAAGTCACAACAGTGTACAAGACAGATTTCTGGGAGCAAAAGGAGAGGGAATTGTAACAGTCTCAATGGGAAGTTCTTTCCCTTTTTACCCAATAAACCTCAACATAATCCATGTGCAAACATCTCTTAATGATTTTGTTTGAGACTTTAAAGAACCACGTAGAATAGTTAATATTCTGCATACAGAATACTCAGCAAGCCTTACATTGAGTAGCTCATTTAATATAGGTTCATTAATAATAGTAACAATACTATTAAAATACTGGCTAACAATATGCAGCATTTATTATATGGTAGGCATGGTACTTTAGTGTTTTATATATATTAACTCATTTAATCTTCAGACCACATTTTACAGAAGGAACTGGGAAAGTATAAGTAACTTATGAA